GTCATGTGTTATGTGCTTTCATAATCAGAGATGATAGATGTTGGTTAATATTATGCACTGACAAATTGTTTTAACTCTTTTATGCAGCTGTTTCGCAAACTGGAACAATGCAACACAGAATTGAAAAAATATAGTCATGTTAATAAAAAAGCTCTAGATCAATTTGTGAACTTTTCAGAACAGAAAGAGAAGTTGATAAAACGTCAGGAAGAGTTAGATAGGGGCTACAAATCCATCATGGAGTTGATGAATGTCCTTGAACTCAGAAAATATGAAGCTATCCAACTGACTTTCAAACAGGTATTACTTGCAACAGTCCTACTATATAGTAAATGGATATTCTTTGGGATGAATTAAACACCTTAATATAAGTGGATTTTGCAATTTTAACTTCCTGCCAAAACTAATGGTTTTAGCTGTAAAATACTTAAAATATATTATTTTAAGTTATTATGTTAAAGCGTTAGTGAACTGAGATGTTTGTAACATAAAGATTATAATTTGGTGATAACTGTCAGCTGTTTAGACCCATAATAACACCCAACCGAAAAATCTGTTTGCAATTGTGATATAAAGCAAAACACAACAGATAATCCAAGATTTTCTCAGCCTTTCCCATTGTATGGTTACATCTTCAGTTTCTTGAAAATAATCTTTTGTCTTCTGTCCAAGAATCTGGTAAGCATAGTTTTTTAAATCAAGTTTTCAGTAAAACAAAAATGAAAATTTGAAAATATTGAGCAGGCCAGATTACAAATGTGTGTATATTAGAGTGCAATCATGGTTACTATGACTTGATGCTTACTCAAAATTGCTGCACTTTAAACTAGTTCTAGTTTCAAAAGAGTTTGAGCTCCTCTGCAAAGTTCTGAGGATCCTGAAACTATGGAAATTCTCCTCACCTCCATGAACAAGTTATATATGTATATATTGATCTGCTTATAACATTTCTATTGATACATATCAAACAATATCTGCTGGCAGAGATCATTTAGTCAGCCCACTCCATTCTTTTATTCTTTATAATCCTTGAATTATGTTTCATCAAGGTGTCAAAGAATTTCAGTGAGGTGTTTCAGAAGCTGGTGCCTGGGGGGAAAGCAACCCTTGTGATGAAGAAAGGTGATGTGGAAGGTAGTCAGTCTCAAGATGAAGGTGAAGGCAGTGCTGAGAGTGAAAAGGGATCAGGATCTCAAAGCAGCGTTCCATCCGTGGACCAGTTCACTGGCGTTGGAATTAGGGTAAAGCAAGGTTATTTTCAATTGGTCTGTAATGATTGATAACTGTCTTGCTGATAATACTTAAGAGTTAATAAACTAATCATCTCCAATTGTTTCTACCCTCCCAGTACATTCTGGCAGAGTAGGTGCACTCTGGGTCCCTGTATTAAATGTTGTCATCTTACGGGACCATGCTTTCTCTACCACAGCCCGCACCCTCTGGATCAGCATCCCCCCCAGAGATAAGGACAGTGTCCTTGTAACGATCTGCCATCCGCTGGTCCCAAATCCAGTAACTTTCCTTGCAACCAATATTGATTCAAAAGAAAGTTCATTTATTGAGA